AGGCTGGCAGGGATCTTACTTGTGGTGTATGTCTGCTTTCTGTACTGACGGTGGACATCTGTTGTGGAAAGGAGTTTTTTACCAAATGCTATGTAAGTAGCACATGCCAGACACCTCAGGAAGTTATCAAAAGGAAGGAAAAATGTAGATATTCTGTTAAAAATTCTGTGTGTATTTCTTGCCACAGATGCTACCATTTTATTAGATTAATGCCTTATTTTAAACTGCTTATTGCATACAAATGTGGTTCTCCCATTTCCTTCTCTCCCTGTAGCCATCCTTCCCTCAGGAACGAATCAGGTCTGTTTTAATAAATATACAAGAACTTAGCCATAAGTATTAAATCACATTCTGTAAAAATAATCTAAGGCTCTAAACCTGTGATACTTCATTTTCTGATGAAACTGTTCATGGGTGATCTGAACACTTTCCAAAACTGAGTTTTATTTCCTTTTAGATGCACCTAAGCCACCCACAGAAGAGACATACATTCGCTCGGATGAATATGGGACTTCTGCAAGATTCAAAAGATCATCTGCAAAAATTCAGAAAAATGGAAGTCTAAATGTTGAAACCCTTGTTGTGGCAGATAAAAAAATGTTGGAGAAACATGGCAAGGAAAACGTAACAACGTACATCTTAACAGTTATGAATATGGTAAGATGTGGTGTAACCGAGAGTATGTTTTCCCTGTGGAATATTGTTATGTCAGAGTAGGATCTTTCATTAGACAAGTAATGATACCAAAAAGAGCAGGGGCGCCTTACAGCTCTGGCAATAGTAGTGTAGGATAAAGAAAAAAAAAACAAGGAAAATATTTTAAATATTAAATTTTAAAATAGTTCTTGTGTAGTACAAAAAAGGCAGGTACTCTGAAATTGAAACTTTCTTTCAGTATCATGAAGCTTAGTCTGTTTTGTCTGATGTCTCTCCTTGAAACAAAAATTTGAGAAAGCACAAATTTATTTTGAGAAAAAATATATAATTTAACTAGAAATATGTTTTCATTTCATTGTACTACAAAACCTGAACTTTGAGCTTGGTTACACTTGATCCAGGAAACCAAGGACAGAACAAAGCACAAATCAATAGAAGGTTTTCAAGTTTTTTGAATAAGTGTAGTGGTTTGGGGCATAATTCTGGGTTAAGCTCTTTTGGATTAATCCTACAAGGTATATAACTCCCTTAATTTGTATTGGAAATTGAAGCCCAATGCAATCATTCAATGCATATGTTTATTAAAAAAAAAAAGCATGTAGATGATATTTCCTCTTCAATAATCGTTCCAGGTCTCTAGTCTGTTTAAAGATGGGACAATTGGAAGTGATATAAACATTATCGTTGTGAGCCTTCTTCTTTTGGAACAAGAGCCTGTAAGTTGTGTCAGAATTTGAGTGTGGTACACTTCATTTGCTGCTGTTCATGGGGAGCATTGGATGTTCCCACGTTACATACATGAACTTTCGTTAGAGGTGTCTTAAGATTTAAAGCATGAGAAGATTAAAATAATGAAAACCTCCAAAATCACACATTTCATTGCTTCTCGGGTTTTGATACTAAAATTTTCATTTCGTATAAATGTCCTTTAGAAACACTGAAATGCTTCCAGTAAGATAAAATTTAACAATTTCCAGCATTTTCTTCACAAGTAATGGCTGGAATGAGAAATCTACTTAAGTAGTATTTAAATAAATGAAAAGATTTTGAACTGGGCTTTCCAGGATGTAGTGATCAGAAAGGGGAAGGAGTCAAAAGTCCCAAGCTGAAGATTGCATGTAACAAAAGGTGGGAGTGGAGCCAATTTTTTTGTCGAGGGTGCTGAGACAAATGTAGACAAAGTCTCTTTTGATGAAAAGAAATTTGTGATGGGTTGATCTACTTGGATAATACTTTTCCTCTACAGAAATCTCCAAACATTTTAATCACATAGTTTTATCAGGAATCAAATATATTTGTACACTGTAATTCCAACCGCTGACTTTGAAAATATCTATGTGTCAGAGGAGAGATGCAGTTTTATTTTATAGTTGTAATAGATTTACTCATCAGCTGAGTCGGTCATCACAGGCAGTTAACATGGGAATACATAAGTTTATGTAGAACAAATATGAAAAAGTAATACCCTTTTCCCTAACAAGCTCTCATTCTTTCAATCACCTTTCCCAAGTACTGATGGAAGCACCTTATTTCTGTGTCTGTGAAATATCTACAGGGTGGATTACTGATTAACCACCACGCGGACCAGTCACTAAACAGCTTTTGTCAATGGCAATCTGCTCTGGTTGGGAAGAACGGAAAGCGCCATGACCATGCCATCTTGCTTACGGGTTTTGATATCTGCTCTTGGAAAAATGAGCCCTGTGATACTTTAGGTATGATATGTAAACACATTCAGAGGAACTTGTGGGTGTCAACAGCAGCATCTTGATTGATAGAGACTGAAACGTTTTAAAATAAAAAAGTCCATTTTTGCACATAATCATAGAATCATAGAATGTTTAGGGTTGGAAGGGACCACTAGTGGTCATCTAGTCCAACCCCCCTGCAGTGAGCAGGGACACTGCTAACTAGATCAGGTTGCTCAGAGCCCCATAATGTTAGCCTTCTTAAAGAGCAAAGAACAGTCTTACTTTAACATATTTGTCTTTGAGGTACCTAGAAGAAAAAGAATATTACTGGTATCATTCCCTCAGGAAAGGGGGCAAAATTATCACCTTTGAAAGAAATATTTTTGATTTTGAGAAAATTTCTGAGCCACTCTGGTATTTATTTTTTTTCTTTTTGTGACTACTTGCCCTTTTTGAATGGGATTCCTCCCCAGTTTGGGAGCAGTAAAGGCAGGAGGGGGAGAAAGAATAATCTTTATGAGTGAAGTGTATTTTGGGAGTGGATACAGGAGTCCCTCTATTGTCAAATAAAATATGCTGTAATTTTTTCATGGTAATCCTGATGAAGTAGTCATCTTCATGCACCACAATAGACTGGCTTATTAGGACCAGTGCAGATGAAATATGTATTTGGAATTCTGTAGAGGAAAAAGCTATTCTACTGCTTCCTTCCTTCAGGATTTGCACCTATCAGCGGCATGTGCAGCAAATATCGTAGCTGCACCATTAATGAAGATACAGGCCTTGGACTGGCTTTTACAATTGCTCATGAATCTGGACACAAGTAAGTTTTGTGAGTCTTACATGCTCCTTCCATAAATATATGTAAGTGAATGGAAACACAGCACCAGTTAATATAAATCAGGTAGATATGAATAATTTATCGAGAGCTATATAATGATTGGAATATATGGAGCATCCAGTTGATGCATTGGCCTTATTAAATAGCATCTCTTCAACAGTCATAGAAATAACCACTGTGGGATTTTGACTGATTTTGCTGCCATAGGCAGAGGGATCTTATTCTGATACAGGTACCTCACAACTGTTTCTAATTTGTCAGGGAGCTACAGGCAATTTTAGGCCAGAGTCAAGACTCAGAGGTGTGTCCCCTAGCATGAAATGGTGAATCAGCTGTCCAGGATGTTTTCCTTTTATTTTTTTGACATGTTATATATTCTAGGTGATAACAAGAACAGTAAAAGCTGACAACAATAATCTATAAGCTTCCTATGCTGCTACCATGTTCTGGTAGAAAAATTGCTTCTAGTATCAGTGTGGTTGCTCCAAAAAGAGAAAGGACACTGCAGTTTGCAGTATGGAGAAGTGACCTCTCTGAGTCTCTTAGAGGTCCCTTCCCGAGAAGACCCGGTGTTTCATAGGATCTGGGAGCCACTCATTCCATTCAACCTGTCCTTCTTTGTTCTCTCTGTCTATTTAATGCATGATTTGGCTAAAATCAATCTTTGTGCTGGTTTCTGCCTTTCTGTATCTATATCCATTGGATTTCTATTTGATTTCTATGGTTGTAAGACCGCACTTTTCCGAAGAAGCTGCTGTCTCCAACAAAATCAGTAATAATCTTCCAGGAGCTTCAGCTATTCTTTGAACTGTTGAATTAAATCTAAAGAAGATGGTTAGGTTTTTCTCTCCTATTTTTTTTTCCCAAATAATTTTGAATTACTTTTTTCACAACTTTTTGCATGGTTTTGATTTTCAGTTTTAACATAGCTCAAGCTGGAGTCTGTCTAACCACTGGCAGTATAGAAGCATAGTTTCTCTATGTGGCACAAACCTGAAATCAAGGGTCAGATGAAACATGGGCATAGGATCTTTATTTTGCAAAGCAACAGTGCTGCACAGAGTATCTTTGAAAAGCAGTGGTACTGTATTCTGCTGTTTGGTCAAGGCATGAATCCTTCCGATTCTGCATGACTGAATCAGGACTATTTAGTTTTCATTGTACGAATATGCTCTACAGTATATACTATGACCTAATGTCTACATGAGTGACCCTTTCACAGGTTTCTGTACATCTGAAGGGAAACAAGGAATTAAAGAATAATCCAGCTACCAGTGAAGCCCATGGGAATTGTGCCAACGCTTTCAATGGGACTAAATATGTAAAATATATATTGTTTGATCCTCCTGTCACACTAATGCGATTTCACTGACCTCAGTATATTTTTAATGCCCTTCGATCAGTATTAGGAGAGAATCAGGCCCATAGCTTATTTTTCAAGAATTATCCCCTTTAGTCTCTTAATGTCCTTCCTTCCTGTTTATTTTCTTATTCGCTTTGAGAGATTATGCTTGGGCATTTTTTAATGTTGTTGTTTTTCTTTTTCACCACTGCCTTTGATTCTCATATTATTCAGCCTTTCTTTGGTACAGTTCCATACTCCTAATAAAATGCACCTTATCTCCTGGAAAAAATCTTGCCCCGGTTGCAAAATGTCTTTATTATCATTTGTTCGTGTTCATGTTCCTGAGACTACCTAGTATGTGATGTAAGACAACAGAATCCAGTCACTGTGATACAGAGATTCCTGGAAGAAAAAACTGTGACAGCTATGGAGGTGCTGAGGTCCACTGTGAATATATTAGCCTAAGGATTTCATAGTAGGAGAATATTATATACTGTATAGATACATTCTGTGATCCACTGAGGAGCTTCAGTTTTTATACATTTTTATGGTTTCTTTAAATAGTTTGTGTTTTTATCGGAAAGCTTAACAGTTCCTTTGGGAGTTCAGAGCCCGTTGTGTCAGTGGGTATATAAACTGTGGATTCTTGGGCTGCAATGCATGTGAACAAAGTTAGTATCTTATACAGGATTCTAAAATACTAGCTCAGCTGGGACTTTTTTGTCCATTTATAGAAGGAGCCATGTATTTTAGCAAATTTGGAGCCTCAGCTGGTGGCAACACATGCAGCAACTCTGATGAGCTTGCAATGATTTATAACAGTAAAGGACTAAGTCCAGTAAATTAGATGTTCCCCGCACGTGCACAGATTACATTCATAAAGTTGCCAATGTACTACAGTGTTGAAGTAACAGATTATGAAATTTCTAGTCAAACCACATTGAAATTCACAGATGTCCTGTACAGTGAGTAAACATAAAACAGCAAAAGCAAAAAAACCTGAAAATTAGGTTTCTTATAACCATAAGCGCCACATGATTTATCATTTTTAATGTGGTTTTTATTATTGCTTATTATTTTTTATATTATCCCAACACCTCTCCCAGTGAAAGCAGGGCCTCATGATGCTGCAGACTGAGCAAAGCACCCAGTAAGAGGCAGTATTCCCATGAGAGAGGTTACAGTCTAGACAAAGTAAGTGGCAGTGTATAACAAAGGCGAGGAAAAGAAAGTGATTTTCCTCAGATAATATAGCAAGTTAGTGGCAAAATTAGAAAAAGAATCCTATTTTTATATTCGTACTTTGTATTTTATTCACTGAATCCACTTCCTTTGCTATAGATTGAATGCAGCTATGTAGTTCTTCCCTCCTGATAGGACAGTTATGTTCTATTCTTATAGCTGTGTAATGCCCTGGATTCTGATCTCCATGCCATTCATGTTAATAGGCATTATCACTAGGCAAAGAAAGGCTCAGACTGCACGCGTGTTTTAAGCTGGTAGATTTGTAGGCAAGTACAAGTGTGACTGAACATAAGAGCCGCTACTTCCATCCATCTCGCCATAAAACATTTCTCCTCCAGGAAAGAGAAGTGGTTAAACTGTAAAACTTCTGACACAGTCTGCAGCTCTAGTACTTACGTGCCAGTGTCTGTCGTTAGTTCACATTGCAGATCTCCTGTGCATCACCAGTATGGGTCTTCCTTGAAACTTGACTATCTTTTTCTCATCAGACAAGTGTATGATGACAATAAAATTTGAATGCTATTAATTGGAGCTTATTTCATACTAGTAGTCATTTGTATGGTGCATATATTTTCATCCCTTTGGAATGAAATGGATGAATTTCACATTCCCTGTGGAGTTCAAGCATAGAACTATTGCCCAGAAAGTGTTTCTTCTGCCCCAAATTCTGTCTCGCTTCTGATTAATCTAGATTTTCACTCTCACGCTTGGTTCTCTTTTCAGCTTTGGTATGATTCATGATGGAGAAGGAAATCCTTGTAGAAAAGCTGAGGGTAATATTATGTCTCCCACACTCACAGGAAACAACGGAGTGTTTTCTTGGTCTGTATGCAGCAGGCAGTATCTCAACAAATTTCTCAGGTAGGTCAGATGTAAATCTGGGCTGGTGCCAAGGAATGTATCTTTAGTAACTGGGCTTGAACTCTTGAACAGACATAAAAATTACTTAAGTGTGAAATTCACCTCTTTTAAAATGTGCTCAAGCCCATGTGCTGTTTGAGCCCACACACTTGGACTTATGAAGCGTATAGGTGGTATGGCATATAAGTGGTTTTGTCCTGCCTCGTTTCAAAAGAATGAATTTCACCCTCCATGAATATCCTGCAGTAATGACCAGCACATCATTCTTTCCCAGACATTTCTGTCAGCAGCTAGGTTTATTAGAGAATTAGTAGGAAGTGAACACAAAAGAGGGCAGACATAGCGGTACCAAAGTCATGGCAAAATGTAAATTGACATTAGTGGCCTTTCTCACTGGAGTTTCTCTCTTGATCTAGCTCATGTCATGAGTAAGGACATTTTACATTTTTCATGTACTGTTTCGGGGGCGGGAAGGGAAAAAGAGATGCCAATTACTTCTCCAGCACGTTGGCATTACTCAGTGATGCTTTTAAAGGAAATGTTTTTCAGTCTATGTTTAATGTCATCAGAATTGCAGTCCTTTCCTGTACAACTTCCCTTTTATTTTGTCGTATACGGGTAGACTACACATGATTACTGAAAAACATGTAAGCAGTGCTAAGACCCTGATCCAATACAGGTATTTTAGATGTTCATTCCTTAGAGTGAGAATCAAGCACCCAGATAGTTCTGTGGATTTGATCCTTGAATTCCAAGTTAGTATCTTAGAGTAGCCGCCAGGAAAGGTGACAGAGTTCTGGTGATTTTTTTTTTTTTTTTTCTGCTGCGACAATGAAACATATTCTGAGTACACAAGCAAACTGAAACTAAAAAGTCACATAAGCCCTCCAACATGCAATATGGTCCAAGAGACTTACACTTGGAAGAGAAAAACCAGCCTAGAGTGACCTTCTGTATAGATGGGTTCTCAAGCACATACAAAGGAAACAAAAGGTAGACCAGAGCGTACCCTTGGTCATAAGCTGGACACAGCCAACCCAATGCACACAATCTGAAGCAGCCTTCTGTTTGTCAAGCCACACAAAGCGAATGCTGAAATGCGACAGCGTGCCTGTTGATTCTGCTGATTCCTGGTTTTGGGAATCCATTTAAGGGAAAGAAGCAGACTGGATCACCTTGCTCTTGGTTACACAGGAATAAAGGGAGGAAAAGAATTTGACATCGTTTGTTCTTGTTGTCACAACAGTCCCAAAGACTGGAAATTCTTGCTTCCCTAAAAGTTTGCAGGTCAGGCTACCAACAAGATGTCAAGGTCTTTTGGCTCCTGCAAGCAGATATTCTCATTTCAGTGCATATCTCTAAAGCTAGTTAAAGGTACTGTATACTATGTGTTTTTGCTGGTCTGTAGCAAATTAAAATATTTTGATGTAAAGATCATAGTCATGACTAATATACATTCTCATTATAGTACAGCTCAAGCTGCCTGCCTGATTGATGAACCTAAGCAAACAGGACAGTATAAATACCCTGACAAACTGCCAGGGCAGATCTACGATGCTGATACCCAGTGCAAATGGCAATTTGGAATGAAAGCAAAACTGTGCAACCTCAGCTTTGTAAAGGTACCTATTGATACCCTTTTGAAAAGTTAAAATTACATTAGAGAACTGCAGTACGCTAAATAACGACAAGTAATACAGTGTTCTTCAGAGACCTGGGCTATTTCTCTGCCTTATCTTGCTTGGCAATTTGCTTTGAAGGTACTGGCCTCTTTTGAGGAATGTCACAATCCCAGGGGAGTTTCAGAAGGAAATGTGTTCTTTCCAGGAGTCATAAGGAGTACAGTTGAACACGCAAGGCTCATGAGCCCTTGCCTACTAAGGGAAATTGGCAGGCAGTAGAGTTTTGATCAAAACTTGCATGGGGTGTGGGGTAAGAAGGACTACGTTTCCTGTGTTTTATTTTACTCTTATGCATTGACAGCAAAGACTGGAACAGATCTATAGGGTTATTTTAGAACAATAAAAACATAACTTACACCCTTGACTTTGTGATGAAGGTTTCATTTAGATTAACCTGTTACTTTAGTGACTGCTACACTCCTTGGGTGATCTCTTCAGAGAAGTCATTTTACTAAATAATCTAGAGCGCTCATTCTGGAAGAAGTATTGCCATTTCTTTTACTCCTGTTATTATCCTGGAGTATTTTATTTTATACTAACTACATTTATCAGGTGATGGCAGCTGTGTTTCTTCTACAGCTCATAAAGAAGAGAGTGAACAGCACTGTGAAGAGACTACGTTCCCAGATATCTCCTATTTTAGAAAATCTAGTCTCTTCACAGTAGTCACTGTACACTTGATGAAATTTTAGCCTTGAACTTTTTAACACAGTTTTTGTTCTATTATAGTCTCACACTCAAAATAGTTGTAAAATCTATAGGGAAATGGTGCATAAACAAGAAGGCAATATACAGGATATGGCTGTGCCATAAATCTTAAATCCTGGATTTTCTACGTTTAGAAAAGGCTTTATTAATACGGCTTTTAAGGTAGCAACGGCATGATCATTTGTTAGTCTTTCAAAACACCAGAAAATAATGGGAATTACAAGTACTATAGTGAGTACTTTTTTTCTTTTCAGGATATATGCAAATCTCTCTGGTGTCACAAAGTGGGTCATAGGTGCGAGACAAAGTTCATGCCAGCAGCGGAAGGAACAGCTTGTGGTATAAGTATGGTAAGTTGATTTATAAATAGGACAATGTCATTCTAACTTGGGTTTAGACTGTATTGGGTCAAATACCAGCTCCTGTCAAAATCAGTTTTATCCAGATCCCTTCAGGTTTGCTATCACGGACTTCTGGATTGCTCTGTAAAAGATTGCAGTGTGATACATAGTCAAGACTGGTCCTCACAGTGGCACCTATCTGATGGTAGGGGGGGATGCCTCTCCCAACGAGCTATGGAATAAGGTACATCTGGCAAATCTCAATCAGTAACAAAACCTGTTAATTATCACAGAAGTTAGGTTGAGGCTTCAAATTCCACCCTGGTATAAACATTCTTTAAGCCATAATATTTGCTGTACAGACTGAGGCCATCATGCATCTTATCATCAGTGATCACTACTAAAAGAGCATGGATATTTGTTTTAGTTGAACCTTCTAATTTACACTCACCTATGGTTACCCAAAATCCTTTATTTTGCTGTAATGTTTCTTCCAGTAGAATACTGGTTTGATTTTTAAGTTACTGACAAATGTTCTATTTTGCTTCTTCTCTTTGTGCAGTATTTCATAATTGAATGATAAAAGGGAGAAATTTTAGCAGGCTATTTTTAAATTACGTGGGAATTTTTGAGGTTCTGACAGCAGAGGACCATAAATTAACACGGATTTTGGGGGGAAGAGTAAGCCCAAAAGATACTCTCCAATAGAACAGTTTTGCAAATTTGTACCTCAAAGATCTTCAACTCGGAACTTGGACAAATTTTAGGACATTACTTACCGGTACCATTGTGTGGATCAATGTCCTACTTCAGAGTCCTTGTCCTACTGTGAACTATCTCACTGAGTTCAGTGGGTGACCTCATGTTTATTAGGGTTAAGCACTGGAGCCTTTAAATGTGGTTTTTTTTCTTTTTTGCATCTACTAGGTACCGCTAACTCTGATGGGATATTTTTTGGCATTCTTTTGGCAGTGGTGTCGAAGAGGACAGTGTGTCAAATACGGTGATCATGGACCCAAGCCTGTCAATGGCCAGTGGTCTGCCTGGTCTGAGTGGTCAGAATGTACTCGCACTTGTGGAGGTGGGGTCACATATCAAGAAAGACACTGCAATAATCCAAAGTAAGACATAGATATGAAAAGGTATTATTTTTATACTATTTAAGTTTTTTAGAACAAAAAAGCGTCCATTTCTGTAGGGAGATAGTACATACAAAAATGTTTCTGAGACCTTTCTTTCATGCCCATTATGACCAGTCAGCAGCTGAAAGACAGAAATATGTCCTGATACTAGAAAGTAGTGGCTGTCTGAAAACTGCTAGAGTAGCAGAACATCTACAGCCCAACTTTCTCAATTTATTTTGTGACTTTACAGTTTATCAAATACTTGCAGGAGTAATGAAATGCCACACAGACGTATTCACACCTAATAATTTAGGAGCCAGGGAAAATGTCTTAAAAGCTATTAAGACTTCTGATGAGATCATATTATCCAGCGTAGTAAACCAAAAATGGTTAAAGTCAATATCAAAATGGTTGTAGACAGATGTCCTTGTATATCTGTCATGTTCTTTGCAGTCTTTTATGTTTCACAGGTCAGAATTAAGTTGCTGAACCCTAGAATTGTATGCTAACCATTGAAACATTGCTGGCATTTTCCTCTAGTTAATGTCTCATCACTGCAAGTACTACTATTCCTTACAATGCTATTTCAGTGTAGAGGTAAAGTGTTATCTGACCAGTGTCTTTACCAAGTACTCAATTCACTTCAACTTACAAGAAAAAAAGGATTTAACTGTTTTATTTCATACACAACTTCAACAGGCATAGACACATGTATTCTTCATTGCACAGAATAAAACCAGCATTTAAGCTGCAGTAATAAAAAACAGAGAAAATATGACACAGTTTATATGAGGTTGTAAAGAAGCCTCACGCCTACTATACAGTGCTGCAGTAATAATATCCACGCTTCATATACTGTGTTATAGGAAAATGTGAGTTAGTTAAAATAGTCTTTATTACTCTCACTCAGTCAAGCCAATTTTCGCAGTTCCATAGCGGAGCATTTTCTCAACCTTTTCTGTTGTTTCTCAGTGTATTTTGATAAATAAAATTCCTTGATAGTTTTCTTTATTAAACTATTTAGCAAAAGAATGGAGGGTCTCAATTACGCTTCCCATGTTATTTTGGTCTTCCCACTTTGGTCCCTGTTTTGCCTGCTGAATTTGTATGAATGACATTGTTCTTTGCATTCATTCATAAGCCTTCCCTTGCTTTCCCTGTATGACAGAAGATTGTCCAGTAATTGAAATGTTTCAGTTTGGTGCGCTATTATAACTGATAATGATTTAAAATGGTCTTCAAACAGAAGGGTGTCTGTCACTGTAGCATTATGTATTTAACGCTTGCATTCAGAGTGATCTGTCTGTTCTAATTAAAGGAAGACTTGATGCAAGACTTGATGTAACCAAGTAAGACTTGATACCGGAACTGGATTGTATTTATACTAAATTTAATTTTATTGTACTTGTGATAATTCAGTTAGAACAAAGAGAAGATACTAGAGATCTCTCTGAGTTAGTGTGATGAAATGACAGGAGTACAAATAAGCCATCCACACAGCAGTGTACAAATATCCAGGTAGCTGTATTTCCCATCACAGCACTTCTGTATAAATGTGGAATCATTAGAAAACTGATACTATCCATTTTCAGTGTTACACCACATGGAACGATTTATAACCTAGTCACTGTTCATTGTTCACCTCTAGAACTACACATAAACAAAGAATAATGATTCCTTTCTTTCTGAACTGCTGAAATATATTTCAGATGTTTCTATATTTCTGTACATATATGTATATTATTTCATATGTAATATATTTATTTCACTTTTCCTAATCCAGATTTGTGTAGGAGCTAATGTTTATTTTGTTCAAAAGCTTGATAGACAAATTTGGATAGCAAAATTTTGAGAATGACAGAGAATAACGTGTTTCTGTAAGAGATTAGGACAAGGGGTGTGGATCTCTGAAGAACTGACTGGACTCTAAAATTAGGGTTTTAAATAAGTAGTCCATTTTGCAAAACAACTGACTACTTATGAATAGTGAGGGAGATTTCTAGGTTTCCAGTGACTTTAAAGGTGACACATCTTATTAGGAGCTTAAAGAGAGGTGAAGAACACAGATTCAGGCTGCTGCTTATGAAAATCTCATTTACCTGTTTGTATGTGAAATTCTCCTCTTGCAAATAATATCCAACCAGTTCAATTCCCTTTCTCTTGACAGTTTTAAGACAGACCCTGTGACCACACCCAAACAGCTCTGGGTATGGCTTCTGAATTACCACCTGGGTTAGCTACGGATTCATACTAACAAACACCTATGGAGGTCATCTGAGAACACAGAACTATGCAGATTTGCTAAAATCATTGTTTCTGTAAATTGTCACAGTGTAATTTCATGGATCTGGTTTTCATACATCACGACATTTTACAATTCAGGTAGTTTCCAAGATAGAAATAGATTACATCATTTAATAGTTTAGCTTGGAATGAACCTGAAGAGTGCCCAAGAGATTTAAATTAATACCCAATTCATATCTGTGGGACTGCATCCTACCCACTTCACAGTAGCGCATTGTTCAGTAAGAGTGGAATGGAGTTCTAGGTACGTATGCAATCAAAAGACTAAATCAAAACTGCTTGAACACCTCTTTTTAATCTTGTGCGTACAATATCTGTAACAGTGATTACAGACAATGCAGATGTAAACTAATGCAAAGTAATGATGCCATTTAAAAGTAAGAATTAAAATGAGTACGGTGAAAGACCTCGTAGACCTTTCAAATTCACGCAGAATAAAGTAGTCTAGCTTTGTGATACTATCATATTATGGTCATAATATGAGCAGAGATGTTCTCACTTGAATTTAAATTATTACAAAACATGAAAAAATAGGAGTCCAGAATTTCAGAGTCTAATTCCCTTTGTAATGCATAAAATACTTTCCTTGATCAGATTAATTCCAGGATTTCTCACTCTATGTTGCATTGCTGTGAATATCCATTTTACTTTCATTGTTCGTGAAGTCTACAATATCCTTAAAAGGGTACTGCAGAATTAATTTAAGTGACTCTTACAGCATTTTAATATTTGAGTCTTATAAGGAGTATTTACATCTTTGCATTTATAATTCTTTTACAAATCATTCTTTGGAGACTGTTTTTTGATGGCCTTTCTCACCAAATTTCTTCCTTTTCCAATTATCCTCAGCATGGCCTCAGCTCTAACAGCATCTATTCATGCAGGTATCTTTACCTATACATGCCAGCGCTGGGGAGGTACACAGATGGGTGAAGAGGTCAGGCTGTATCAGTATTAGGAGCACGGTTATCACTACGGAACTCATTGGAATACCCCCTGTGCAAAGTGTTCCGTTGTAAGCGCAGTTATGCCAACAGAGCTTCTGTAGGCAGGGAGACCAAAATCTACGGGTGGTATAAATGTCACCAATAAAAGTGTGATTTTGTCAGTGTAGAAAATAGTCTTTTCTCAGAGATTTGGTTTTGTAGATCTACATCTCGTTTCCTGTGAATTACTTACCTCTTACAGACATCTTGTTGGTAAAAAACAAAGGTGGGGAAGTTTCCATAATTCTCTGGCCAACAGTTTCAGTAATGGGAGTGTACTGTAATATTAAAATGCTGTAATAGAGCTGGGAAACAGAATGCCTCTTTCAGTGCTCCCTTAGTTTGGTGGAATTTTATACCATCTTCAAATGCAAGACTGTGGCTAGAAATCATGATCTAGCCATAAATAATTCTATTATATTGATTTTTTGGTGGCACTTACTTGGAAGGAGGTTGCTTCTTTTCCTTACACTAATGCAGATTTTTTTCTCTGAGGCTGAAGAAGGTCAAAAATCGTACGTGTGCTGAAGCTGTAAAGAAAGTCTGTAGAGAATTGAGTCAGGACCCAACAGTTTGGCTGCCTTAACTCAGAGCTCTCACCAATTGTACAAAGTCAACATAAATACTCCCTGACTCCACAGATGTTACACGTCCTCCCTGCCCTTCGCAGACTGAATTGCCACCAACTAGGACAGAAAATTTGACTGTTTTCAGACCTTTGCCGTTATACCCAGTGTCAGGGCAGCTAGCAGGTGACTTCAAGAAAAGTGACTGGAAGTTGGGTTATTTCCCACAACATGTTTTGCTGGTGCTTTAATCCAGTTTTAAGCAGAGTGGCAGGTACCTTTCCATCTCTTCGAAAGACTGTTTTGTAGCCCAGGATCCTGGAAAAGCCAAATATTGTGTACATTCAAAGCTGATTCAAAACACAAAAACCAAGTCCAGCTTGTTTAGAGGGTTAAAATTTATAATAAAGCAAACAGAAAAAGCACCTGATTTTCTCATCCATGTTGCACCAAGCTGTCTCCGTACTACTCCAGTCAGATGCATCTCAAGAGAAGTCGCACGGGATACTTGATATGGGGAATAGTTACAACATAGTGTCTAGGGATTTAAACAAACAACTCTAATTATACTTGTTGCAACTGTATCTTCTATACTATTCTTATTAATTATTAACAGTTAATATACTATAATTCAGTATCTTTTATATTACTCTTTTTTTTTCCCCTTAATATGTGTGTAACATGGGCAAGCTGTCCACTAAAAGATCATAGCCTGTCTTCAAAGTATGTATGTTCCCTAATTTTTAAAAATCCTTATATAAATGTATGCAAGTGCAGCGTTGTTACATTTCTTTTCACTTGAAGCAGGAAATTGTACAAGATGACAAACGGTTCTTAGAATTTGGTGTTTTGAAGGTTTGGCTCAGAACTTGCAGATGTATATCTGAGCATTGTGAAACTGCAAAAATAACATCAGTGAATTCCTATGTAGCTCCATAAGGAATACAAAAGTGAGTGAATACATTTCTCAGCAGCTTCTGAGACCTCTCAGTCACTGTAAAAAAAGCAAGTCTTACATTTTACGTTATTTTACAGCCGTGTGTGTAGACCAACTAATTAAAAACTATTATTCTGATAACATAAGATACTAGCAAAGTAATAGAATATGCTCTTTTCATTCTGGCCAAAATTAAGGGAAATTCCCAGGTAAGGTTTGCTGAAGTGGATGTGACATGTTTTAAGTTCTCCATGAATTCCGACATTTTCCTAAAGGAGGACAACTGTGCACAGACCTTGTTTCCTGTGACTGTTTAAAAGCACATTTTTTCAAAACGATTTACAAAACAAATGAACAACCAAATGTAATTATTCATTCTGTTTATGTTTGGCCAGTGTTATGTTATCCTTTATTAACTCTTATTGTGATAGGTAATTCTTTGCACATGTTCATTTCTGGGTTATAGCGGAGTGAAAATGGTTATATAACAAGATTGAAACCAGTCAATACAAAATAGCCCTATGAATTCAAATTAGTGAAAACATGACTCACCTCTAGATGGTTGCATTTTTGCTGAGTTTGGAGTGATCCAAGTAGATAATTCATGGCAACTACTCCGCTTGGTTTTAGAACCATGAAAATTAATGGTCCATATAAGAAATACCTCCTAAGACAATACATCCTCTCGTTTTCTCTGTCGATACACATACAACATGCCAATTGCACAAAAAGTAGGTTTTGAAGAAGAATCTGTTTTTCTTTTTTTTTTTTTTTTTTTTTTGTTATCAATAGGTGGGGTGTTTTATTATC